CCCACCCCCTCCTGGGTCCACTCCCAACCTTACACCCTCCCAGCCCCTCCCCCTGTTCCTGTCCCTCTATCCCTCACCTCCCCAAGCCCCGCCCCCCCACTGTGCCCTACCCCCACTTCCAAACCTGCCCCACCCCCGCCCCCTGGTGTTCCCCGCCTGCCCCGTGGCCGAAGGGGGTGCTCTGGGGCCCACCTGCACGGCGCCCCCGGATTTATCACAGAAGGCCGCCCAGTGGAAGAGGCGCTCCAGGGCCAGGTCCACCTCCCGCTGTGCCTCCTTGGGGGGGGCCCCGGTCAGCGCCCCCAGCCTGGACGCCACCTCCTCCCGCCGCAGCTCCAGGTTCTCCGCCACGTAGTACAGCACTTGCGCCCGGGCGTGGGCCGCCCGCTTCCCCCACCTGCCGGGAGAGAGACGGAGTCGGGATAGAACCCAGGAGTTCTGGCTCCCAGCCCTGCGCTCTAACCACTAGACCCCACTCCCCAACCCAGAGCCGGGATAGAACCCAGGAGTCCTGGCTCCCAGCCCCACCCCCACGCTAACCCAGTAGACTGCAGAATTGATTCCCATTCTAACAGTGTTTTGCCCCTCCCCCAAGGAAACAGCCCCCCAGCCCAGTGCCCCTCTGAATCTGATTGGTGGACGAGGCCTGGCCCGGGAGCTGCCCCCCAGCCCCGATCAGATTACGCCAATCAACCCCCAGGCAATAAAGCAATAAAATGTAAGTGCCTCTGGGCTCCTCTCTCCACCTGGCTGCCACACCTGGCCCCCACCCTCCTGGCCAGGGCCGGCTTTAGGCCGATTCAGCCGATTCGGCTGAATTGGGCCCCGCGCCAAGAGGGCCCCGCGCTGCAGCTCTGCACCCCGCCCCCAGCTCACTTCCCCGTCCTCCCCTCCCCTGAACGCTCCACCCCCTCCCCTGATTCGCGGGAAGTCTGAAAAGAAGAGGGGCGGCCCGGCAGCACCAGGTAAGCTGGGGTGGTGGGGGCGCGAGAAGGGCTCCGGGGAGGCGCCGCCCGTTCCCGCCGAGCACGCAGGCCCCAGCGGCTCTGGCCCGGCGCGGCTCCGGCCCGGTCCCCGCGGCGCGGCTCCGGCCCGGTCCCTGCGCGCGGCTCCAGCCCGACCCGGCCCGGTCCCC